AATTCATCTCCCATATAGTAATTCATCCCCCATATAGTAATTCATTCCCCATATAGTAAGTCCCCCATATAGTCCCCCCCCCCCCCCATAGTAAGTCCCCCCCCCATATAGTAAGTCCCCCCCCATATAGTAAGTCCCCCATATAGTAATTCATCCCCCATATAGTAATTCATCCCCCATATAGTAAGTCCCCCCTGTGTCAATTCACTTACCTTTGCTCCGCGCGTTCCTCTCGTCGTGCTTCCCGCGCCGTTCTGGTCTTCAGGGTGGACTGTGAGAGGAGAGGAGTTCGTCACGCTGCCCCGCCTACATCCTGGCTGCCCCGCCTACATCCTGACAGCTGCAGAGTCCTGACTTTTGGGGCGGCCGCCCGAGAGGAGGGAGGGGAGCGGGCGGCCGTCCGAGAGGAGGGAGGGGAGGTGAGGGGAGGTGAGGGGGCGGCCCCACGCCCGGCACACGCCCGTCCGAGAGGAGGGAGGGGAGGGAGAGGAGGGAGGGGAGCGGGCGCCCGGCACACAGAAGAGCCGCATTTAAGCTTGTAAAGAGCCGCATGTGGCTCGCGAGCCGCGGCTTGCCGACCACTGTCCTAAACTATCCACCTTTAGATGATGCCTGAAAACTTTTCTCTTTAAAGAAGGCTATCTTGCTTCTACCTAGTAAACTTCTTTTTATTTCCTTCATCACTCATCCACCACAGCTATTACCTTATGTATCACTCAACCCTTCCTCGTAGATTGTCAGCTCTAACGAGCAGGGCCCTGTGTTTCCTCTTGTACCAAATTGTATTGTAACAGTAATGTCTGCCTTCATTTTGTAAAGCGCTGTGCAAACTGTTGTTTGGCACTATATAAATCCTGTATAATAATAATAATGTAACCTATTCATTGCCACAGTGCAGATCCAGCTTGTGTGACCATCACTGCCGCACAATGTTTCCATAGATGAGACTTCTTGGATACTTTGATTACTTCTCCTGCTTTTCCCTCTAATTGCAGGTTTGTAATGCTTGTCTATAAATATACTTTTTAAAGGTATACTGTATTTGGTTCAGCTCACATTTCTCAGTCTGTTTATAACGGTGTCATAATCTGAAGGCTCTTCAGTTCTTCTCAGGGTTTAAAATTTTTCTTGAAACCCAGGCCCCATCAAAGCCAACATAAATGGCTCTATTTTGTGCTGGAACATCAACTGCAATTGCAACAACCTTGAAACTAAAACATATTCTCCCTTGTTCCAACATCGTAAAAGACTAGCAAAATCTTCAGAAACATCAAATGGTCATCTGCCAGCAGATCTAGAAATTCACCATTTATTTTGCTGTTTTCTAAGACAGATAACTTAAAAGCATCTGGGCACTAGTTGGTTATTGAGGCAAGACTAACTGAGCAACATTTTCCACAATTTGCGAAGAGTCCTGCAAAGGTAACAATATACAATTGAATTACAGGCAGGGGCGGACTGACCATTTGGAAACTCGGGCACTGCCCAAGGGCCCGGGGTCAGTAGGGGGCCCCATGAGATGCCCCTGGTACCTTTTTTATAGGCTTTTTGAGTTTGGGCAAGGACACGGGCCCCATGATCCCCTATTGCCCAGGGGCCCCATGAGTTGTCAGTCCGCCCCTGGGTATAGGTTATTTGTGGTTTTTGATTTGCAAGGAACTCGGTATTAGTTTTAATAAGTTTATTAATAAATATATATGCACTGCTCAAAACTATTAATGGAACACTTTTTAATCAGAGAATAGCATCAAGTCAGTCAAACGCCTGGGATATTGATCTGGCCAGTTAAGTAGCAGAGTGCGTTGTTAATCAGTTTCAGCTGCTTTGGTGTTAATGAAATTAACAACAGGTGCACTAGATGGGCAACAATGAGACCACCTCCACAACAGCGATGGTTTTACAGGTGGAGGCCACTGACATTTTTCCCCGTACTCATCTTTTCTGACTATTTTTCACTAGTTTTGCATTTGGCTAGGGCCAGTGTCACTACTGGTAGCAGGAGGCGATACCTGGACCCTTCAGAGGCAGTCCAACTCCTCCAGGATGGTACATCAATACGTGCCATTGCCAGGATGTTTGCTGTGTCTCCCAGCACAGTCTCAAGAGCATGGAGAAAATTGCAAGAGACAGGCAGTTACTCTAGGAGAGCTGGACAGGGCCGTAGAAGGTCCTTAATCCATCAGCAGGACCATTATCTGCTCCTTTGTGCAAGGAGGAACAGGATGAGCACTGTCAGAACCCTACAAAATGCCCTCCAGCAGGCCACTGGTGTGAATGTCTCTGACCAAACAATCAGAAACAGACTTCATGAGGGTGGCCTGAGGACTCGACGTCCTCTATTGGGCCCTGTGTACTCACTGCCCGGCACCATAAAGCTTAATTGACATTTGCCATTGAACACCAGAATTGGCAGGTCTGCCACTGGCCCCTTGTGCTTTTCACAGATGAGAGCAGGTTCACCCTGAGCACATGACAGATGTGAAAGGGTCTGGAGAAGCCGTGGAGAATGTTATGATGTCTGTAATATTGTTCAGCATGACCGGTTTGATGGTGGGTCAGTGACGTTCTGGGGAGGCATATCCACGGAGGGATGCACCGACCTCTACAGGCTAGACAATGGCACCCTGACTGCCATTAGGTATGGGGATGAAATCCTTGGACCCGCTGTCAGACCCTATGCTGGTGCAGTGGGTCCTAGGTTCCTCCTGGTGCACGACAATACCTGGCCTCATGTGGCAAGAGTATGCAGCCACTTCCTGGAGGGTGAAGGAATTGACACCAACCACTGAATGGCACCCACGCTCCTCTGACCTAAATTCAAAAGAACACCTTTGGGATATATTGTTTCGGTCCATCCAATGCCTCCAGGTTGCTCCTCAAGAGGAAATACCCCAGAACACCATCCGTCATCTCATTAGGAGCATTCCCCAGCATTGTTAGGCATGCATACAAGCACATGGGGGCCATATAAACTACTGAGTACCATTTTGAGTCGCTGCAATGAAATTTCAGCAAAATGGACTAGCCTGCTGCATAATTTTTTCACTTTGATTTTTGGGGGTCTTTGAATTCAGTCCTCTGTAGGTTGATAATTTTAATGAGGCATCCTTGCGTTCCTTACACACTACCCAGTCCATATCAGTATAAATATCCAGCAAAATGTTTATTTAATTTTCTTCAGCAGTGATATATACAGTTGTGTTCAAAATAATAGCAGTCAGACATCACTAACCTGATCAATCACTGTGTTTGGTAGAAATGATATTTCTACATGGCAAATAATTTCCTAGCAGGTGTAGTAGAGTAATAGAAATCCAACAGACCCAACAGTCATGACATGCATGCTGCTGATTCTGTGTAATTGAATCACTAATTGAAAGGGGCATGTTCAAAATAATAGCAGTGTGGAGTTCTATTAGTGAGGTCATTCATTCTTTGAAAAACAGGTGGCAATTATTGCCCTTATTTAAGGAAGGAAGGCAGCAAATGTTGTACATGCTGGTTACAGTGCATTTCTCTCTGAAATTCTGAGGAAAATGGGTCGTTCCAGACATTGTTCAGAAGAACAGCGTACCTTGATTAAAAAGTTGATTGGAGAAGGGAAAACATATAAAGAAGTGCAGAAAATGATAGGCTGATCAGTTAAAATGATCGCAAATGCTTTAAAATGGCAACCAAAACCTGAAAGACGTGGAAGAAAGCGAAAAACTACCATTCGAATGGATAGAAGAATAGCCAAAATGGCAAGGACTCAGCCAACAATCAGCTCCAGGAAGATCAAAGAAGGTCTAAAATTACCTGTGAGTACTGTTACAATTAGAAGACGCCTATGTGAAGCCAAGCTATCTGCAAGAAGCCCCCACAAAGTCCCACTGTTGAAAAAAAGACATGTGCTGAAGAGGTTACAATTTGCCAAAGAGCACATTGACTGGCCTAAAGAGAAATGGCGCAACATTTTGTGGACTGATGAAAGTAAGATTGTTCTTTTTGGGTCTAGTGGCCGGAGACAGTTTGTCAGACGACCCCCAAACACTGAATTCAAGCCACAGTACACTGTGAAGACAGTGGACATGGTTGCGCAAGCATCATGATATGGGGAAGTTTCTCATACTACGGTGTTAGGCCTATTTATCGCATACCAGGGATCATGGATCAGTTTGAATACATCAGAATACTTGAAGAGGTCATGCTGCCTTATGCTGAAGAGGAAATGCCCTTGAAATGTGTGTTCCAACAAGACAACGACCCCAAACACACCAGTAAACGTGCAACATCTTGGTTCCAGACCAACAAGATTGACGTTATGGAGTGGGCCAGCCAATCCCCGGATCTTAATCCAATAGAAAACTTGTGGGGTGACATCAAAAATGCAGTTTCTGAGGCAAAACCAAGAAATAGAGAAGAACTGTGGAATGTAGTCCAATCATCCTGCGCTGGAATACCTGTTCACAGGTGCCAGAAGTTGGTTGACTTCATGCAACACAGATGTACAGCAGTTCTCAGAAACAGTGCTTATACAACTAAATATTAATGAAGTGATTCAAAGGAAAGCAAAATCCTCAAACATTTTTCAGTTTATATAGTGAATGTTTGAGTTTGTAAAGAAGAATACAAACACTGCTATTTTATTGAACAGTCTAATATTCACTTTTCTTCAATTTTTTTAGAGGAACACAAATTTTATATATTTTTCTTCATGTTTTGATTTGGAATAGAATAGTGTTCCCAATGCATTTGTGTGTATGGAAATAAAAGCTATTAGAAGGATTTTGAGCTTTATTCACTTTTTTCAACACACTGCTATTATTTTGAACACAACTGTATGTGTGTGTGTGTGTATATATATATATATATATATATATATATATATATATATATATATATATACACAAACACACACACTATATTGCCAAAAGTATTGGAACACCCCTCCAACTCACTGGATTCATGTGTTTCAATTCCCTCCATGGTCACAGTTGTAGAAAATCAAGTACCTAGGCATGCAGACTGCTTCTACAAACATTTGTGAAATAATGGGTCTCTCAGGAGCTCAGTGAATTCAAACGTTATGTCGTGATAGGTTGCCACCTGTGCAATAAGTCCATCCGTGAAATCTCCTTGCTACTAAATATTCCACGATTAACTGTTAGTGGTATTATAACAAAGTGGAAGCAACTGGGAACAACAGCAAATCAGCCACAAAGTGATAGGCCACATAAAATGACAGCTCAGGTCAGTGCATGCTGAAGCGCACCATACGCAGAAGTCGCCAAGTGTCTGCAGAGTCAATAGCTATAGATCTCCAAACATCATGTGGCATTCAGATTAGCACAACAACAGTGCGAAGAGAGATTCATGGAATGGGTTTCCATGGCCGAGCTGCCATAATTTTGATTTATTTGAGAATGCACAGAGAAATTTGTGTGTATTCCTTATAGTTACTGTAACACTGTGTTTTACTATGTGATTTTTGATTTATGGTGGTATATCTACTTACAGTATATTGCAAGCAGCTACTTATTAATATTATTTTTTGTTTTAGCGCTGACTTTATACACTTGATACAAATGTCTTACTGCGGCTGAGCGTCTCATCACTGTACTGTGCTTAAAGTCTTCTGTAGATATCCATGGGTTTTATGCCTTCGTTCACAATAAACTTTATCACCACATGCTGTTATATGCACGCATTAACACTGTTGTCTGCCATCTTGATTAACAGTCTTTGGACTGACCTATCACATTGGCGCTGCCTATCAATTATAATAGGACACACTTGCCACTTACTACAGCGTGTAGTACCGCCACGCTAGCATCCCTTTTTATACTTGTTTAACTAAAAGTCCTGGCTTGACTTGAATATATATAGTGAACATTCATGAACTTAAGCTACTGTTAACCCTATACAGTGAATATAAAAAGTCTACACACCCCTGTTAAAATGTCAGTTTTCTGTGATGTGTAAAAAAATTAGACAAAGATAAATCATTTCAGAACTTTTTCCACCTTTAATGTAACCTACAAACTGTACAACTCAGTTGAACAAAAAGCTGAAATCTTTTAGGGGGAGGGAAGTAAAAATAAAAAACTAAAACAATATGGTTGCATAAATGTGCACACCCTTAAACTAATACTTAGTTGAAGTACCTTTTGATTTTTTTTACTGCACTTAGTCTTTTTGGGTATGAGTCTATCAGCATGGCACATGCACTTCAAAAAAACACTCCAAACCTGTCATATTGTGAGGGCATCTCCTGTGCACAGCCCTCTTCAGATCATCCCACAGGTTTTCAATTGATTCAGGTCTGGGCTCTGGCTGGGCCATTCCAAAACTTTAATCTTCTTCTGGTGAAGCCATTCCTTTGTTGATTTGGATGTATGCTTTGGGTTGTTGTCATGCTGAAAGATGAAGTTCCTCTTCGTGTTCAGCTTTCTAGCAAAAGCCTGAAGGTTTTGTGCCAATATTGACTGGTATTTGAAACTGTTCATAATTCCCTCTACTATGACTAAGGTCCCAATTCCAGCTGAAGAAAAACAGCCCCAAAGCATTATGCTGCCACCACCATGCTTCACTGTGGGCGTGGTGTTCTTTTAGTGATGTGCAGTGTTGTTTTTGCGCTAAATATTTCTTTTGGAATTATGGCCAAAAAGGTCAACCTTGGTTTCATCAGACCATAGCACATTTTCCCACATGCTTTTGGGAGACTTCAGATGAGTTTTTGCAAAATGTTGCCGGGCTTGGATGTTTTTCTTCGTAAGAAAAGGATTCCGTCTTGCCACTCTACCCCATAGCCCAGAATACGGGAGATTGTTGTCACATGTACCACACAGCCAGATATCCCTGCAGCTCCTTTAATGTTGTTGTAGGCCTCTTGGTAGCCTCTCAGACCAGTTTTCCTTTCATCAGTTTTGGAGGGATGTCCAGTTCTTCGTAAAGTCACTGTTGTGCCATATATTCTCCACTTGATGATGACTGTCTTCACTGTGTTCCATGGTATATCTAATGCCTTGGAAATTCTTTTGTACCCTTCTCCAGATTGATACCTTTTAACAATGAGATCCCTCTGATGCTTTGAAAGCTCTCTGCAGACCATGGCTTTTGCTGTAGGATGCGACTAAGAAAATGTCAGGAAAGACCTACTAGAACAGCTGAACTTTATTTGGGGTTAATCAGAGTCACTTTAAATGATGGCTGGTGTGTACTGATTCTTCTAAACACAGCCAAAACCCCAGTTATAAGATGTTGTGCACACTTATGCAACCACATTATTTTAGTTTTTTTATGTTTACTCCCCCCCCCCCCCCCCTACAAGATTTCGGTTTGTTTCTCAATTGAGATGTACAGTTTACAGGTCACATTAAAGGTGGAAAAAGTTCTGAAGTGATTTATCTTTGTCTCATTTTTTTACATCACAGAAACCTGACATTTTAACAGGGGTGTGCAGACTTTTTATATTCACTGTAGTCCTTTTAGTCCTTTGCCCTATTGAAACTTTTATTTAGTCAAACAAATTGTTACTAGTTTTTAGCAGGACACAGGGGGCCCTCAATAACCTCCCTTAGTAATTTATCAAACAAATAATAAAGATGAACCCTTTATTACAACAGTAATATGAAAAAGAATGTTGGCAAGCTCAGCAAATTCAGCCCAAGAGATGGGTGTTTTTGGGTAAAAGAAGTCTCCAAGAAAAGTTTACTCAAGTTGCAACATTTGAGCTACTTTTTATAAATCTTTCCATGCAGGAATCACACATTCACACATTTTCTACTTGTATCTGTATAAAATATATGGAAACATTTATAAATAGGCCCCTTGGCCTCAAAGTGCATGTACAATATACAATCAGAAAGAGATAAAAAGTAAAAGGCCTTTTCTGTCCAAAAAGAACATAAGAGCAAGACTACAGTTTGCCATTGAGTTTATAGACAAAGGCCCATATAGACTAGGCCTTCTGGAACAATGTGCTGTGGACTGATGAATCAAAGATTGAGTTGTTTGGCCACAGTAACAGTAGACATAGTTGGCACAAACAGAAGACGGTATTTCAGGTGTTAAAAGAAAAGACCCTCATACCAGCTGTGAAGCATGGTGAATGAGATGTCATGATTTCAGGTTGCTTTGTTGCTTCAGGGCCTGGACAGCTTACTTCTATCTAGTCAACTATTTGACAACATATCAAAGAGTCATTGATGAGAATGTGAGGCCATCTGTCCAAAGGTAGAGCTTGTACTGGAAATGGATTTTTAAACATGATAATGATTGGATGCACAGTAGCAGATCTACTAATTAATGTCTCAGAAGGAGAAATAGAATATTATGGGCTTGTTTAGTCAAAGCTCTGATTTGAGTCCTATTAAAATGCTGGGGGGGATGGGGGTTACACCAGGAATTTTATGTGAGGAAACCCACAGACATCTTGGAACTGAAGGAATTTTGCATGGAGGAGTGATCAGAAATGTTGGTAAGTCCATGCAATGTCCATGGTGGGCAGTTTTGCAAAAGTAAAATCGAAAGGGGGGCATTTACCAGCTTCTGAGGTCAAGGGTTACATACATTTTTCCACAGTACACCATTATATTTAATGATATTTTTATAAATAATTGATTGAAAAAGCAACATTTCCTTGTGTTTCTATTAAAGTATGTTACCTTTATCTGTAGGCACTATTTGAATAAAAATCTAATGTTTGTTTTCTTAAATATTTAGCAAAAGTCATCAATTTCCATGAGGTGTACTTCTTCACTTCACTGTATATACTGTAAAAATTTATAACAAAGTAAATGCAGTAAAACAATGGCATACCCATACAATAGTGTGTAAAATGCTCAAATAATAACATCAGTTCTGCTTACTGAAAATGTAGTTTATTTTGCAATACACAGGAGTTGAGCAATGGTATCAGTTATTTTGATGGAGAAAGAAAATCGATAAAATGTACATTTTCTGGCCAGAAAATAATAGTCTTTAGGTGATTTTTTTCCTGTTGTCTCATACTTCATTTTTCTGCCTGCAACTTTTGAGATTTTTTCTTCTTAAGTTTACTCGAGCATCTCACATAGGTCTTCTCCTGATCTGGAAGCAGTTTGAAGTTGTCAACGTTTTCTGAACAAAATGTGACTCTGAAAAGGAAATTAGAATTTGTAAGACATTCAAGTACCTTTATTTTCGTATTCCATATTTTTATTCAGTTTCAGAAATCTTAATAGATACAGTGCAAAAGATACAATATAATGTCGAGAATGCGCCCACAATAAATGAATATAGAGTACGAGGTTCAAGCAACAATGCAAGGACCTTTAATTTTATGAAAAATATGTTAACTAACATTGACGCTGTTGTCATTTGTCCCTAGTCTTGAGCACTGAATCTTTTAGTGATTTACAACTTTGAAAGGTGTAAATGCAGGTGTGATTTTTCTTTTGCTGATCTTCATATCTGCACAAATATGTATAAAAATGGCTATAATTATTTATGAATTTATTTGAATGGGGATTGTCAGGAATATTCTTCACATACACGTATGGTATTTAGTGTTTCACAAAACAAACTCTCCCAAATCTAATGTCAAATATCCATATTTGGCTCCAGGCAAGATCAGCATCCATACTGCACAATCACATCTCAGGTACAGGCTTGGCTTTCTAGTCTGAGGCAATCAAACCAACACTCCAGGGTTGATTTACTAAAGCTGGCGAGTGTAAAATCTAGTGCAGCTGTGCATCGAAGCCAATCAGCTTCTAACCTCAGCTTGTTCAATTAAGCTTTGACCAAAAAAAACCCGAAAGCTGATTGGTTTCTATGCACAGTTGCACCAGATTTTGCACTCTCCGGTTTTAGTAAATCAACCCTGAAGTGTTGGACTGTGGGAAGGGTGAATGAGAAATTTTACGAGAAATTTTAACTGACCATACACAAATAGATTGCCTCACTTATCTGAAGCTTTACATTTTATAATCCTTATTGCTAATTTTGGTCACATCTCAAGATTCATTGCACAAAATCTAATTATTTAAACTTATTGAATCTATTTGTAGGTTAGTCTCAAAATATACCTTGTAAACATTTGAAATCCATTTCTAATTACAGTAAATGACTAACTTTATATTACTTGTGTATGTCTTGTTTTATTGTGTCTGGGAACTGAGATGATCAGACCTATCTAGACAGTCATGTACTTTAAATATAGATAGTACAGTATATTACACTGTTTAAGGCTATATATATATATATATATATATATATATATATATATGACAGTATTTTGATGATAGAATGTTTCTAATATGTATAACACACCATGTTAGCTACATACAGTATAAGTCAACCAACCTTTCCTGGGTCTCTCCTGCTGTTACCCGTATCTTCTTCACTATGAGTCCTGGG